TCTTACCCCAAAAACTCTGTCTGTAGAGCTTAGTTCTCTCTCTCTCTCTCTCTCCATTAGAGATCTCTGTCTCTCTGTTTAGCTGCATGATTGTTTCTGCTGTTTCTTCTTATCTCTTGGCTTTCTGCCACAGTCTCCGTTCACTGCTGCTTGGCCGCCACTTTTCAGTATCTCCTGTTGCTGCCCACAGTGGAGAAACTCCTCCAGCTCTCAGCTACAGAACTCGGCCCACTTTAACACTGTTCCAAGTTCTTGTAGCCCCCCCCAACAGGGCTCCTGCCCCTTCTCCTCGTGGCTTCAGAACATGGCCACTTCTCCTCCAACTACCTCATCATCCTTCTTTTCCGTTTTGGTGTGCTTTGTTTTAATTTTGCAGGAGCGCTGATTGAGTCAACAGCAAGAGAGACACCACCCCCCTGGGGGTTACTGTTTTTTTAACTCCAGGGGGAAAAAACACTTTTCCCCCCACCACAGCAGCCTACAGCATTATTCAAGAAAGGACATTAATCTTAAATCTGTGGCTATGGTTGTGTTTCTGTATCCATCTGACTTATACCTTCATGTATTACAACAGTGTGACCTCCCAAGGGCTTATGAGCAATGTTGTACAGTGAGGTTGTTTCTGGAGGTGCTTGGACTTTGTAACTGAACTGACTTGGTATGTGCTTTCCTCACTATTGTCAATCACATGTCTGTTGTTGTTGTGCTACCACTTAAAATCTGTTGTGTTGATGACTGCATTGACTGGAATAAGCTAGTACTCATGGTGTGTGGTTCTAGTGAATTTGTTTTGAACTGCTTTCTGTTTACCCCTGTGGCATCTAGAGAAAATAATTATCTACCAGCTGTCATCATCTGTTGAAAAGGTCAGAGACAGAACAAATTAAATGTCCCTGTATGAACTTTTTCAAAAGAAAAAAACTAAAACATTCCTGCCACATTTCTGTAACTCTCTGAAATAACTTCTCCTTCCACCAGTTTCAAAGCCTGCAGACACCATGCCAGAATCAGACTCCTAAAACAGTGAATTCAATAACGTGAGATGTTATGGGAGAACATGGACAAGGAACTCAGCATCTGCTGAGACCTTCAGTCTGTTGTTTGACTTTTGAACCTCAGACTGTTAAACCTCCTCATAGGGCTCCTACAGATTTCCAGAAGTATGAGAACTCTTGGCTACAACAGGTATAAATAATTTGGATTGTTGACTTGGAAAAGAACAAGAGGTTGGTAGTATATGAGGCACTTTGATCCCATATGCTTCTCTGAGTCACTGTGTTCAAAGACAAATTTAGTTACATGTAAATTCTACTACACCTTGCTGAGCTTTTGATTGTGTCCTTTGCAATATGTGTGTCTTGTGCAGCACAGACTATGCAGGCAATTAAATAACAATGCATTTGTCAGAGAAACTGTTGAATGAATTCTGTTTTGCCCACAGATACTATAGTTTAGGGTTCAGTCATTGTTCAGTAAATACAGTATCAGAAATATGATATATGAATGATCTATGGTTCCTGGTTTAGACAGAAACAAAATACAGGAGTAGGTGGAGAATACTGGCTTTTAAAGATGTGGGAGTTGTGCTCTATGGTATTGTTTCTACTACCACCTCCTCTCTAGTTTTTGGTTTTGTTTTTGTTTTTTTTTTTTTATTATACTAACAAATCCTCTGTGAGTTTGTGATCTGCTCATCATGCATTCTTGTATCTGTAACTGTTACACCATGAATATTGCCTTGTCCTTTCACTTCTCTGATTTCAGGCCTTTCTGAAAACACTTCGCTCTCTGCACCCCAGAACTGATAACTTCCAGCAGTATAATCAGTTTTGTTTCTTTGGGGATTTTTGAAGTCAAAAGATTGTCTAGACAGATGATCTGCTCGTGGTATCTGAAGTAACACAGCCTTGCTTGTCACTAGATTCCAAAAGGAATATATTCTAACAGTTTTCTGGAAACCACCTTGAGAGTGCAATATTGGATATAATTAGGGAATGTGTTTAATAAAGAATGTTTTTATTATTTTCTTCTGATATTTCTTCACTCTCTGTTTGAAACAGCTATCTTATGGCTTTGGCCAACAGTTTCTAATTGTGAGACTAAAGATCCTCTCCTCCCTCCTCTTGTAAAAAGGATTCATGTCCCCACTCCCAGGAGGGGATTAGGTTTGTTTAGGATAATGTTTGGTTTGTTTAATTATTTGACATTTCTTTATACTTAGACCACTCAGCTGGATTAATTACCTTATATCTGCATTTTTTTCTTCTGACTATTAGTGCTGTTTAGCTTTATTTTCTCCTAATCTTTCATCTGATCTCCTGTCTGTTCCAAGGGGGTCTTGGGGCAGGGACTCTCGACTGCCATAATGCTGTGCTTGTACGTTCTTCAGCACCGAGCCAACTACTTGGACTCCCATGGCCTGGCAGACTCCAGGACACACACGTGGTTTGTTCTAGGATTAAATATTTGTTGTCGTGTTTATGCTTCACTTCTCTACAGTTACCCACGTTGTTTAAATTAGACAACTGGAATGCAGAGCATGCTGTATTACATGGAATTGTCAACTGAGGGATTAAGGCTTATTGGAGTTGGTACTTTGATGTGGCCAGCTTTTCATCAGCTGCTGCAGTTTAAAATCAGATGGAAACTTTTATAGTGGAGCCCAGCATTCTGCTACAGTTCTCAGCACTTAACCTGCTAACCCACAACAGAAGAGAGGGATTTTTCTTATTTTTCCTTTCCCCCCCCCCCCCGAAGTCAATATTTTAGCAATTCTTTCTCTCTTGTATGTGTTCAGCTTAGGCTGCAGAACTGTAACCAGCATGGCAGGAAGGTAACTCCCACTCAGAGCTTTTCCCTCCATCTCAGCCAGAACACAGTCACCCAAGGGTCCTGCTATGGTTGTTACACATTGCTACTGCAGTAAATATAGTGCTCGGGACTGCACATTAGAAGGGATTTTAAAAGCACATATTAGAGAAAAAGATAAATAAATTACTAAATTTTGTGTTTCTTAATGAAATCTGACTGTTAAGATTTGTATTTCGGGGCAAAAAAGAGCAAAAGCTTACTAAATGAAATTTTTTTGACAAAAGTTAGCATTTGGAAAGAATAATATACATTGCACCTGTTAGTGTAATATGTGAATAGCACACAGAGAACGAAACCAGGTGCTTCTTTTCCCAAACAGACATTTTAAAATTATGCCAATTTCATTTTGTGGGTTTTGCTCTGCAGTGAATATATGCCATCCTGTGGGGTTAATGGCTTTGGCAAAAAGCTGAAGCATTCACAAGGAATATTTTAGTTAATACTTATAGTTTGGAGAGTTCTAAAGAAGATTTTTCTAATTGTGAAACTTCAAAGATAGTTTTACTGAAACCTCCTTCAAAAAGGTTTTGAAGAAAATGAATCTCAAAAAAATGACTAATCTATAAAATAAATATTGGGATCTTTTGCTGCTAGACATTCATATTCACCAGTCTGGAATTAAGATTTCTTTCTGTCATGTGTTCAACTATTTTAAGTCTTTAAGGGCTGTGTATCCTCAGGGACTTCAGAAGATTAATGTTCAAAATATGCTGGTGTTTGTGGTATGAACTGATTTTTCTCATTCTCAGAAAGTTGTTTGTCTTGCACTGAAGAAGGAAAATAAAAGTCACCTGCGAGAAAGGAAAGTAGATACAAGGTGTTGCTGCTGCTGGAAGTCCAACTAAACACAACTGCCATTCTTACCCTGTTAGAGCACAGTGGTTTGATGCTCGCCTTTTGAACCATTCCAGTCATTTCAGGACAGCTAAAGCATCAGTGCCTGAGAGGTGCAGTGTCAAATATACCCTGTCCTCTCTGCTGTGACAGCTGATAACTAGAAGAACTTCAGCCCTGACACTCACCTGGAGTTAAGGTAAAATCACAGCTTTAAATGACAGAAGTCGGGCACAATTCACAAACATTTGTCCTGTACTGGTTTGGCGTTAGCAGTCCTATGAGATATAATTTAATTTTACTTCACTTGGTCTTGTCAGGAGCTGATTTCTACAACAGGAATTCATGTAAATGTTAATTTAAAAAATGTTCTTTAATACTGAATGCAAATGCTTATTAATTTCTAATCATGCTTTACTTTTTAAGCATTAATTTAAGTCATTAGTTATGTATTCAATAATTTATTCTTAACGACAGGATACTCTGAAATGTCTAAAACCTTTCTGTATCACCTAGAAAGGGACAAAATATCAAAATGGCAAACTTCTAATACAAAAGAGGTCAACGGCATAGCCTACACTTTACAAGAAAGGTCTGCAATGCTGCCTTTAATTTCACTAGCTCAGTTAAAAATTTCTCCTTATCTCCTCACACCTTCACAAGCTAACCCCCACCATAAGAAGATGTTATAGGGGCTACAGGAAGTGTGCAAGGGAGCTTTTATCACTGTATCTCTTACTGGAGTTTTGTTTTTAATCTCCCCTCTCTACTGCAGCTGTTTTCCCCACCACAAGGTATTTTTAAATCCAAGTTGCTACAAGAGTTACTTCCTGTTGCAGTTATGAGGTTAGTAAAACAAGAACGGCAACACAATAATATTTCACTGTAATTGCAAGCTTTCTTTGTAAAAGCTAGATCACCTTATTATATAATATCATTTAATATCCATTCTCCATACCAAATGCAAATGTTTATTAATTTCTAATCACGCTTTAATTTTTAAGCATTAATTTAAATCATTATTTATGTATTCAATAATTTTTTCTTAACAACAGGATACTCTGAAACGTCTAAAACCTTTCTGTATCACCCAGAAAGGGACAAAATATAAAAATGGCAAACTACTAATACAACAGAGGTCAATGGCATAGCGTACACTTTACAAGGAAGGTCTGCAATGCTGCCTTACAGAAAAGAAAGGTTGAAAAAATCCTTGTGATGATATCCTCCTCGTGGTTCACAGAGATGTGGTAAGGATAACAATGAAAGGTTGTGGGTGGCCAAGACACTAGAGATGAAAAGTCATCTTTTTTTAATTTTTTATATGATGTGAGAGCCTCAGGAACACAGAAATTATATGGAAGCAACTCTTAGTGCAGAAATCACTAGGGACAGTCACTTCTGCACTTCTTGTAGCAGCTTCTCAATCATAAGCGAATGGGTGTTGTAGAAGGGCAGCCCATCCACTTCCATTTCCAGACTGGCAGTTTTCCCACTGCGGACCTCGAGACGCACAAGTGTTTTCAGAAGCTTTTCTTCCTTAAAAACCAAAGAAATAGAGTATAATTAAAATCAGGAATCAGACAAGAGCATTCACCAAGATCTTTATCTTAATCCTAGGAGAGACTGACCACATCTTCCATATTTATTTTGCTATCAATTTGCTAACACTTTCTTTATCTTGTCCGAAAGACTATGTCTAGCAACTGGAACTTAGGGAGTGTCAGAAGGCTTATATTCTTGACTGCTGTTTAATTATTGAATTATATTACTGCTCTCCACACTCCCTCAAATAGAATATTGGCGTCAATTCAGAAACATAAATAATTCTTTGCCTAGTTTCAAGTTCCTATATTGCACAAATCAGAATCAGAGGAACACCTTCACCCAAAGTATCTCAAAAATCCATCTGTGGTTTCCCCAGTGAGACAACTGGCTGCAGCTGCATTTTTAAATAAAAAGAACAGAAGGGAAAGAGGATGCACCAAGAAAAAAGGTTATAGAGAGCACCTGGATGGGCTGCATGCTCACTTTCCTTTCCTGTAGCTTTTGTGATCTCTGTGTGCCTTTTGCTTTCTCCCACTTTTTTACTATTGATTTTATGAGAGTTCTGGTTGCTTAGGAAAGAGACGGGGAGAAAAAAACCCTCTGAAATTCTGCTTCCTTGGTATGCTCTGAAACAGGGTATACCTTGTTCAGAACTACAGTTATTTTCTTGCTTAACAGTAATATAAGCAGACAACAAAGCATGCTCCAACTTGAGCTGTTAAAGTACACTGAGGGAAAAAAAAAATCCTCATTTGTGAGCTATTGGCCAGTTAGCATAGTGGGATGAAAAGATGGCATAAAATGAGCTCTGAAAAAACACTAGTTCTAGGAACAATGAAATTAGAAGACCTGGTTTCAAATGGATGTATGTCAAGCATAAACTGCTTTGCTTTTCATTTGTCATGAAATGTACACAGTAAAACTCTTTCTACTCTCTCAGCATTTACTATAGTGAGAATTCATTTCTCTAATTCTGTTACTTCTTAGCTTCCCCTCACCAACCCTGTGATAAGTTAATAAGATCTTGAAACACTCACATACCATCTTTTCTTCCCTTTCTTTGCTAGGAATGCCCCTTCTGGTCTTTGTCTACTGTTCCATTTCCATTTGCATGGAAACTGTTACTGAAAGAGCAGTATTTAGTATAATTTTAACCTGCTTTGCAAATGCACTTTCTAAAGATTTGTCTTATATTTCCTGGTAAGGCATCCTAGTTCTTAGCTGCAACAGAATTAAATGAGGCATTGGTTTTCTATTAAAGGAAAAATATGCATAGTTACATGGTGTCAGTCTTGACATCATGTAACAAGACAGCAATGACACAGTTATTTAAGGCAATTATCTGAATACACTGGTAGCATAAAAATTGCTACTTTGTAATTTATAAAATTATAAATATACATCAGCTTATATCATACGAATGATCATATATATGAATGCAAATATATGCACCTGATCTTTCTGCATGAGAGAGGTTTTTCTTAGCACTGACTGTATCCATATGCAAATGGACAAAGTAGATCTCTCAGGCCACAAAAGAGACACCTCAACTGGATACGCAGAATGTAATTTCTAATATGAATTGTTTCTGCTGCATATTTACATGGTAGAGCTCTCTGATCTGCTTGTATGAGGAAAAAAGGGCTTGCTTAATACTACATAACTATGCCTGATAAACTGTATTCTGTCATCAAATGCTACTGTTTCCATTTGTAATGAGCATACACAATGTGCAGTGTGCTTCCACAGCTGTGCAGTGCTGCAATTTGCTCACAGTTCTCTCTTCAGTGAATAACTACATTGGGAGTGAGTTAACCAGAAAAATAATCAAATTAATTGAAAAAGTAAATTCTAATTTGTGCTTTATTCAAGGAAAAACTCCCTTATGAATGACAAAGCTAGTAAAGCATAGTAAAAAAAAAGGCCACATATTTATATATTTATAATGTAATTCATATTCTTATAGGTCATAATTTCAAAATAAACACTATACAGTTAATTTGTTACCATTAATAAAGAGTTCAGTAAAAGAACAACAGCTTGATATGTTAACCTGGTTGTGAGATGAAATGAGGAGCTGACTAGGATGTTTAGCATTAGCTACATTTGGATATGTATGAATTAATCTATTTCACTACAGTCACTTTGCTATAAAAGTACTACAAACATTTGAAAAATCAAGCCAATATCATAATCAAACATAATGGTGATTCAACTCCACAGCTGCAAAGTAAGCACAGATTGTTTAGATCAAATTGTTCCTTGCTCCTCAGTTCTCAGAAAGGAACAAATGCTTTGCAGCATCACTTGCTAAAATGAATGTAAAGCCTGATCCATGCACTTAGAATATAGTTAGCTTTATGTTCAGTGGGAAGGGAGAGCTCCACAGTTCTGGGATTTGTGGCAGTGCAATCCTGACACTGCTTGAACATGAGACTGCAGAGAAATAACATGTGTTTCAGGAGAGGTCTTCACTGAGTTATTACGACCTACAGCATGGAAAGAGTGACTTTTTTGAAGAAAAATAAAGCACATTATAAGGAAGCTGTCTGGTGCTTAGGCACTCCTTCAAATGTCCTCTTTCCAACTACAAACACAAATATAAACACTGAGGTGGATATGTGCGGTGGTGCTCTTTATCTTACTGGGCTAATTATTATAACATTAAATGAAGCTGGATTTTGCAGAAAGTAGCCACATAAACATAAATGCTCTGATTTTTTATACTAATGGAGTATGTGAATACTAATGTCTTCAATCTTCTGTACTGTTTACTGTTGTGTGATTAAAGATATCATATTTTCTTGTCACACATTTTGTCATTTTCTCTCCTCCACAAAACTGTTTCCATTTATTTTATCTTAATAGATTTTAGTATTGCACTCTCAACAGCCCATTATTGGATCATTAATATTCCCAGCTGTATAGCTTAGTGAAACAAAAACAGGAAGGATTTCCTGTACACAATATCACATTTAATTACAGTATCTCATTACCAGAAATTTTGATCATAGTAGTTTTTACGATGCATTAATTTAAAGATCAAAAAACAGTGAATGAAACTGGACAAAACATTGAAAAGTGAAAAGTACTTAATCTATTTTTTAAAAGATTGCACTGAAAAGGACCATACACTTTGTTAAGCCAAAGGATAAGTGGCCAAATGGCTGTACCAAATGTTGGCATCAGTTTCAGCTTTATGACCTTTAGATGAAAAATTAAGATAAAAAGAATTAAAAAAAAAAAAGAAGTAAGACCTACTCTAAAATACTTAAGAGGTTCTTTGTTAAAATTTCATGCAGAACGCACTGTCATCTCAGGAGAAATACTTAATTATTTTGGGCAATATCTGTGGTAGATGGATTATATTTTGCTTAGCACTCTTGGAGGTCACAAACCTAATGGTTTTTCCAAGTTTCTCTAGAGGTACTCTGCCAACTAAGCCGAGTTTTTAAGTTCCTAAGTTATCACAAATATGTGGAACAAACCTTACTTGATCATTAACTGTGTATATATATATATATAAAACACTGCCAAGTTAAAAATAGAGCCATGTGCTCAGCAGGATGAGCACAGATCACAGTCATTTCTCACCCCTCTCAGTTATTTTACTTTTTCTCAGTCTGAAACCTTTGCATTCCCAGAATATCACACTGTTCAGAGCTGCATTAGTCAAAACACATTTAAAAATATTCATATGCAAGTTTTTCTCCAACTTTAATTTGGAAACATTCAAAACTACTTATAGAATAGTTCCAGCATAACTAGAAAAGGTGGTAAGATCAGAAGTAAGGTGCAAAGATCAGAAGTGTGGAATGGCTTCTGCATTAGAACTGTGACTTTCGATTTTGGAAGTAGACATCTAAAGAAGACTACAATAGAGATTAGTAAAATCATGAACAATGCTAAGGTAGTGAGCAGGGAATTTTAATCACTGTAGCTCAATACAAACATTTCTTGTATTGCCCATAAAATTGCAGCACTGTCTTGTGCTTGAAGTGGCAAGACATGAATACATTCATATTGGAGGATTTTTATTTGCAATCTGTCTTGAATCCTTTGTGGAATAGTCTAAATAAAGGGTGGCTGCTCTTTCACAAGGGATTCCCAAAAGCCACCAAAAGACCTTGTGACAGCAAGCTATTGAACTGGACTAGGCAGGATTTAGCACTGGTAGCCATTTCCATCTACATGACATGAGCTAGTCACAACTCCTTGGCCCCACAGGAATTACCTTGGAAACCGAGGGAAGTGCCGAGAGCCAGACCATCTCCTTGGATGACTGTGGAAACCCAACAGCTTTCCTCAGGTAGCGATCATGTACCTCACAAGTGCGGAGAACATACAGAGCACAGGCAATGGCGTAACCGCCCCAGTTAGAGACCCCTGCAAAGAATGTCACCATGAAAACAAACTGTCAGAAAAGGCTGGGTTAGTATCAAGTGTCAGGTACCTGGGTCAGGAACCTAGAAACCTGAGCCTGAGAACAGTCGGGATCATCCAGTTTGTAACTTGGTCCTTGCTGAACACAAACACACCTCTCTTGCTGTGAATTTTATTTCGTGCTGGTTTAGAAGTGAATTTTAACTATAACATTTAACTTTTGTTGTACATTAAGAATTTACCTTTGTCCTTGAGTGGAAATTCTGAAAATTCATATGTGCATAGACATTTTAATTCTCACACAGATCACTTCTGCAGTCTTTCTTGTTATTCTTCCTTACTAAGTAACCTGGTCTAGTGAAAGGTTCCTTGCCCGTGGTGGGGGGGTTGGAACTAGAGGATCTTTAAGGTCCTTTCCAACCCAAGCCATTCCAGGATTTTATGATTCTGTCATTTTATTTACTGTGTGATTTTTCAAGAATACTCAGGATTTGTCCAACTATTTCCAATTAAATGCACTTTCTTCATGGAACATTCTTAGTTTTCCAGTTCTTCTGTAGCCACAGGTGCTTAACTCTTCAGAAAATGGACATAATATAGAAATAAATTCATTTGCCAGGGATGACTTGGTCATACACAGAAAGGGCCAATACAAATTACTTCTAAAGACAAATGTTTCCTTGTCAATTCTATTCTCAAACATCAGCTACTCTCCCACCCCACCAAAAATCCCTTACCTGCTACAACAGTAAAATCAGCTTCAACATCACAAGCTATAACATCTCCATTTTTTATGTGCTTCTTTACAGCATCTTTTACTTTGCCCATTCCTAGTTCATTTCCTCCATCTCCAACACCTTTAAAAGAGAAAAAGACAAAATGAGTATGAACTCAACGTATCACTAACAATCCATTTAGAAAGCATCCAGTGTCTTCCCTGGTCACTGTGACAGTTTATAGCTCCATATGAGATGGTTTATTTTCAACCTAAAACCAGAAGATTGTGAATTAAATAGCTGAAAGCATCACCTACCACATGCCAACATGTAAGTGTATATATGCAATGTACATTGTGTGCATGCAAAAGAAATCAAAATTATCAAATGCTTGTGAACTGCAGACAGAATTAAGACAGTAAACTCTGCTCACGGAATGAGCGTTCTGTATAACGTGTTATCACTAGCACACTAGCAAAAATAGAGAAAGAAGATAGAAAAATAATTCAAAATAACCTTGAGAAATTAGACAATTTTATAATAAAGCAAGTATAGAAAACTTTGGCTTGTTACAAGCTTTAATTAAAAAAAGGGGATAGAAGTAGAAATTATTGCAGAATGACAAGCAAAAATATACGTAAGGACTTTGGCAGGAGTAGGACTGACTGCACTGCTCATCTGCCTTGTACAGACCACTGTCATTGTGCCACAGTATGGGAAGAGCCCAGCCCTGTGTACTATTACTGTTTTCATTTTCCATCATCTATAGAAAAAACAGCTAGTCTTTCCTTTTCTGAGTGTTCTTATACACAGGATGTGGGGCCTTGACCTTTTTGTCCAAATAGAAACATTATGTATTTGTCTTAGTGATTTTAGTAAAATCAATGGGACCTATGTCATTTCAGGAAAATTCTGGGCAACCCTAGGTTTGTGGCATAAAATTGCTGGATGTCATTCAGAGATCTAGAGATAAGGGTAACATATAAACCAGCAGTTCACACAAAAGCTGGTTAGTACCTCTAGTCTCTTACCAATATATTAAAAAACATATATAAAAAAATCAATCTATTTAGTTGGAACCCAAAATTTCTCTTTCACTTGTTAGTCTGAATAGCATCTTAGATTTTACAGAATAATCCTAGACAATGTCTGTGAAACAGAACAGCAAAGAGCTTCAAGCCCTCACTATGATATATCAGATTTGAATTTGAAATGTGACTGTGCTCTAATGCACAGCATGTGTTACCAGAGAGAAATTACAATATTTATAATTTACACTTCAAGCCCTGAAAATTGGCAAATTTAACACTTTTAGTAACTGCATAAATATCTCATATGTCTGTAACAATCTTCTTCTTTAAGTGAAATGGAAAGTTATTTCTCAGCAGCAATGTTTTATTTAACTCCTTAAGTCTATACAGTCAACTGGAGCACATATCTTACATAAAAGGATTTGCCATGGAACAGCTGATATTTTTTCTTATCTGCTTTAATAATCTGTTCCCATTTATTCCACTGTTGGGATTTAATGGTGCTTTCTAAAATCCATTTGTTGGTAGTCATCATGGTTGGGCTTTGCGAACGAAGATTTGGGAAGGGCTCTACCCACATTTGTTACAAGCGCACTGGTGGTTAATGAGGCCAGTATGAGATAGACATGTCTGATTGCAAAAGGCACAGCAGAAAGACTCCTTGGATGGTATATTCTGCAAGACACGATTCTTTCTGCGTTGTCTTTTCTCCTCAAGGGTGATCCTGCGTGCTTTCTCAAAAGCGTCAGCAGCGTTATAGATGGTGTGTCTCCAGACCTCCCGATTTGAAGCCAGAGTAGACCAGTTATGTTGATCAATATGGCCAAGGCTGAGATGTTGTTTCAGGCAGTCCTTGTAGCTTCTCTTCGGGGCTCCTCTCTTGCGGCAGTCGGTGGCAAGTTCACCATAAAGCAGGATCTTAGGGAGGCAGTGGTCCTTCATCCTTGAGACATGTCCTGCCCAGCACAGCTGTGTTCTCAGCAACATGGCCTCAATACTTGTGACTGCGGCTTGTTCTAGAACAGATGTATTGGTCACTTAATCTGACCAGTGGACATTAAGTATTGTACGGAGACAGCGCTGATGGAAGCATTCCAGGAGACGCAGGTGGTGGTGGTAGATGACCCATGATTCGGACCCATATAAGAGAGCAGACAGCACTATGGCTCTGTAAACACTGGTCTTGGTACTTTTCTTCAAGTGTTTATTGCTGCAGCTGGGGCACGGGGTCTCTCTCTCACCCCCCCCCCTTCTGCCACGTGCGGTGGCCAGAGTGTGCAGTCTCTCTCTTTATTGATAGTACTTTTCAAATAAATAATGATGTAATCCTGGTGCCTCTATCCTTACATACAAATATGGAAGTTCTACTGTTTTGTAAGAATCTCACACAATGTTTTGATTTTTTTTATGTTCAAAATTCAAATTTTTGATCTTAATACTCTTTAAAAAGCCTAAGATGAATTCTCATCCTTTTAAGATCATCAGCAGTTTCTTTAACTGAAAGATATCAGTCATTCAGGGGTTTTTGTATCACTCCTGCTTTGCTTTTCTTGTATTAGTGGTAGAAGTCCCGTCACCAGGACAGCTGTACAATTAGTAGATCTATGCTGTGGATGGATCCCATTAATGTGACACTGGGAGGAGAACACCACACTGAAAAGCTTCCTGTATCATCTGTTTTCTTCTCCCTCTACACATCGGCAGAGAACTGCATTTTACTGTAGGTCTCCAGAGCGAAATTCACCTGACAAAATGCAGCATCTACATACGTGCCAGGCAGCTCAACTTTATTAAAGTCAGCAGAGAGAAACAGACCCTTCACACATTCAGTTCATCTCATCCCAAGGCAGACATCTAAAATACAAATGTCTGAAAATAGGCAAGATGAATCCTCTTCTAAAGGCCCGAGTGCTTTCCAGGCAGAGGAAGAATAGTTCTGCCAGATCTTCCATGGAAGTTTTCACTGACAACATTGGTTTCTGGAACCACATTCATAAAATGTGCAGGAAATGTCAGTCTTCCGTGCTAAAAGCCTTTTGTATGAAAGGGAAACGTGTGACCCCATTTTTTCATGCAGTACTTCAGAAAGCTTTTAATCAGCTCCAATATAAATAGCATATAGCTATGTCAATTGTATGACAGCTGAAAAAAAATAGCATGTGGTTCCAGTAACATCTCTTAATCTTTTATTTCAGTCTTATACGAAAAATGAGTCCTTCCAACCTCAGCCTTTCATGTCTTCTTATTCTGTATATTCCTGAAGGTTGCTGCTTACTCCATGAGTTTTTACAGTATCGGTACCCATACAACTGTAGGCATTGCTCATACTTTGTTCGTGGTCAGGCTACCAGATCAGATTTTTTTACATGCAAAACTTAACAGCAACTAATCAACACATATCAAATGCTGTAACATCTCCCCTCTCCACCTACTGACACAGTACTTCTTGCCACTGAGCACACTATATAAAGACTTCTGTAGGCTGACAACCTGATCTTTCTCGTATTCTATCTAGTCTGTAAGGTTATCCAAGTATTTCACCCTAATGCTGTACAATATTTGCATTTATTTTGGAACTAGACATATGCCTCCAAATTCCTACTGACCATGAAGAAAGTCAAATATAGCCCCACCAGAAAAAAAATTATCCTAATCAGTAGCAATACATTACTATCAGCAACAGGAGACAAGACACAAAGGCCACAGCTGAGTGGCCTCATCAAGCTAAGCTTTGCAGAAATACATTGAAACACCCAACAGCCAACCCAAGAAATTGTAACCCAGTTACAAAACAGACACAAGAAGTTAGTGAGATAAGCAAAACAAGAAATGTTAACCAGGTACCAGACAGCGTAAGAAACAATTAGATTGTTTCTCTATGGACACTCAGTTAGTTTCCCAGTGTAGAATATGCACATACACAAATTCCACAGAAGATCAGAGCAGATCCCTTCATTATATTTTGAAGCCTCTGACTTGTTAAACCATTCCCAAAGTTCACAGCACCGAGACACAGTGACTCTGGGTAACTGCTTCTTTTCTTACTCACAAGCCTGTGGTATTTTTAATTAATAACATTTCATAGTATATTTGAATATTGAGTGAATGTTTGAAACAAACTACATGCTGCTGAATAGACTGAAAATCTCATCTGGCAGAACACTCCAAACTCCACCAAATCAATAATATACTCTGAGCTGCCGTGGGAGATATTTGAAGAAATTAGGATATTTTTATTAAAGGACTCAGGCTGTGATGTTACATAAGTAGCTAGAGAGACCAAGTTCTTGTATCAGCAGTCTAAAATCAGGGACAGGAGTTGAAATTAACTGCATCAGATAAAGCTCTGGGGCATTTTGCTAGACATCTTTACGAAAGAGAGCTTTTTCTGTACTTATTCAGTCAATCTTTGGCTTCTCTGCTGAGATTGCCAAGAGAGTGCCATCTAGAGTGCTTCCTTTTGAATGTTGGAAGTTACTCCTTACAAATATGAAAACATTTGGATCATATCTAAATAAAATGTATTGCAAATTTTAAGATAAGTGAACTCTTCTACTACACAGTTTTTAAATGATACCAATACAGTGAAATCAGACTATGCATTATCTCTGCAGGAGGTCTCTAAATTCTGTGGAAACATTTGAAAAACAACAATACTGAGAAGCCAAAGCTTCTGTGCTTTTGGTAATACTCAGGAGTGAGTCCACAGCACTACAAAAAGAGAAAAAGCCAGATCAGCAGACATGTTCTGATGAGACTGAAATCAGCCTGGCATGGGTACTTATTTCTAATTTTGGGACATTTATTTCTAATTTCATTTTTAATATTTATATAGATTATATAGCTGCAAAACTCTGTTTTGGGCCACACAGTGTAGCAGGAAGTATTTGATTGTACAAGGATGTTGTACAACACTTTATATATATACCTTGGTCTATGGTATATTTTTTCAAAACCAGATACAAATAAGTTTTCAGGAAAAAAACAGAGGACCACTGTGTTGACAAAAGCATTCTTTTTAGATGCATTAGCCAAGGTATATGTAGTTTTGGCTGGAAGGATAATGACTTCCTTTAAAGATTCTAACTGTACATATATTTTGTTAGACAAGGCACTATTATAGTACATGCAAATATCCCTGCTCAAAAGTACTGCTAAAGACAACACAGACTAAGATTATCCAGGCTTCTGCTTTAACTCAGGTGTATCTATCAAAAAATAATACTTTAATAAGTAATGTTTCCATTCAACGATTATTTGCATTCTATGCTGCCTTTCACATATAAAATACAGAATAAAGTCACTGTCAAAAACTGCACTTAGAGAAGTGTATGTACACACACTAATGTATAGGTAATATATCTAGGCCTGCTCTTTTTATCCTTAAATAACTTTGAAATCAACTTCTTCATTTTTTTTTTACTGTGAGAATCCTTCAGTAGAAACTTGTAATTTTTCTCCAGCAATGGTCTCTTCAAATTCAACCACAACAAATAGCTGCAGCCTGCAAGCTGCTGTTCAGTACCTGCCTCCTGCTCCCCTTCACTTCCAGTAAGAGTTCCTGTTCTGTGTTTCTCTTGCTTCTGAGAGTTATCACACAAACTCACACATACCCGTTGTTGTCACTCCTGGAATGGTTTGTGCAGCTAAAAATAGTTCATCTATGGGATCCACGAGATGTTTAATGTTAACTTTCCTGGCATTGTAATAATTGCCATCAGCAGCCATCCCAGCACGCTCTATTGCTATCAGGTGATCATATCTGGTTAGAGGTGAGTGAAAAAAACAGAGGAGAGGAGTCAAAGGTATGATTTTCACATGTGCTTGGTTCTACTTTTTGACCATCTGGGATTCAAGTTAAAACTTGGATACTGTTTTTTTATTTCTGAATGTAGTTCTCTATGCTTTTTTTTCAAAGGTTATTTCAGGTTTTTTATAGCTTTAGTGCAGCTCCCCCAAACCACATTTGCTACCGAGAAATGGAGAAGTTCCTGCAATCCTCCCAGCCAGCAAAACTTTGGGTCAGCCATCTGGTCTGGCTCTGTTTCACATTAAAATAGACAATATCTTGTAAAATATTAGTCTCTGTGAGTGTTTTCAAAGAAAACGAAAAAGTGGGAAATTAATGATCATCTAAATCCTTGTTTGTGCAAATATATCTCTGCTTAAAGAACATGGTTTGACAAATATCCATCTGTTTCTAGTTAGGGAATGTTTTGGTTTGGGTCTTTAGATTCAGGGGACTTTAAGTCTATGGTTATTTTGCTAGTTATGAAAGTAGACAGATGTACTGCCGATGTCCTACATTTTAAGCAGAATTTTAGTACTCAGTTCTGCCACTGTATGTTAGAATTAAGTTATTTTGCTTCTGTTTCTTCAATTTTACTGCCAAGAGGTAACTGATTCTGCTGAATTACTTAATGTTCTTGTGGCAGGGTATCTACAGTGATTCCAGAGACCTTAAGCAGGTTAGTTGTCTACTTAAATAAAACACTTTAGCTTTTTTGGTCCTAGGGATCAATTTAAATAGAATTTGGCTGTACTTATATATAGCTATAAAATAAATTTTTAAAACAGTACATAAAAACTTAAGGCAGTATCATGCATGCTATTACAGTATACACTAACCCGTGAAAAGAAATGGGAATTGAGTAAATCTGTGAAGCAAATACCACAGTGAAAGATATTTTTATTAAAGAGAGCAAACTGAAGGCAACTACATTAAAATGCTTTACAAAGAAAGATCAATAAAAATGAGCAATGTATGCCTACAAGGAAATGTCAGTTGCCTGCTAAGTAATGAAATGTTTGTACAGATACTTAGAAAATTCTCCAGTGCATGAACCCTAATCACACACTTTGTATAAGTTTGAACTTTTGTCCAACATTATATACTCAACAATGCATATGTGAACAGAATCACATCAATACTGAGAAATGCACACAGGCATTTGTAATTTTTGCTGTGGCTGCTAAAGACAATAGGATGACAGCTTTCACACCATTACAAACACATATATTTTATTAAGTCAGATCAGATTCCACAGTTGTCGGACGTGACAACTAGAGTCAAAGTGCTAAAAAATGAACACACTCTTCCTAGCTCTTTCACTGACTTTGACACAATACTTTCTGATTTTCTCATTTAAGAATTGGTAATATAATATATATTGGGTGTGTATATATATCTATATCCATGGAATAACTGCCAAAAAACTTCTAGAAATTTTTCAAAGGAGAAGAACTATTGATATATGAAAAATCACGTCTTTTTTATACTCCAGAACTGTATAATTGCAGAATAACATGGAATTATGTACTCTGTGTGTGCTCCAATAACTATTTTTGGCTTCAAAGGTTGTTCTGTTTATTCCAAGTCTTAAGGATTTACTTGTAACCATTGTGCCTTCTTAGACCATGGTCATGATTTTTATTATAACTTTATACAGTAGAGGTATGACCCATTCTCAAAAACTGAATACACATACCTAGGTCTTCCAGAATTTCCATTTTCACACAAAAACATTAAAGCTGAATCAGCACTTTCCCTTTGATAATTCAATAGAGGGATGGGTTTCTTCAGAATTCCTACAGGAAAACAAAACGCAATTCAGATACTACATACTTTTTATTTTATTTTGTTTAATGTGTTTTTGAGCAACTTAAAAAAAAGAAGAAAGCAAAATGACTAGAATAGTAAGAACTCAATGTCTTTACACTGTTCTTGATAAGTTCCCTGCATGCTTACTTCAATGTAAACTTGTTTAAATGTTAATGCTAGTAAACGGAACCTTGAGATACGAAACAGGTCTAAAAGAATAAGAACAGACATCCAGAATTTATCACAAACAGCTAAGCCAGAATCAGTACCCAGATATGTACACATTAACTTGATGCCAGCTAAGTTTAATAAAATGTCATTGTAGCAATGCTGAGCAGAGCTTAGGGGATGAAGTCTGGTTCATTCTCCGGGGAAAAAAAGTCCTGTACTAAGTGACAGTGAGATGAAAACCGAAGCAAACCTTGGCTCAAATTAGCAAGATAAAAACCAAAACCCCTCACGATTCTTACCTAGTTGAACAGCTTCTTCAATAATCTTTTTATTCAGATCCATGGCTCTCTGATCTGTAACTATGGCAACCTCTTTTTCCAAGGCCTGCAGTATAGCTGCAATAGCAAGGGCTCCCGGGGGCCCGTCATTCTCTTCTGGTGGCTCATAAGTGAAGTGGGTAGGAAATCCAGTTGTTATCAGCACAGACCGGGCATGGGAGATGGCCAGGCAGGCCTTCAGAAGCTCATCCTGGCGCTGCAGGTGAATTATACCCCGGTCTCCTACAAAAGTGTTTTTAAAGAGAGCAGTACACTTAAATCTATCATTCCCCTTCTGAAGTTTCCCTGTGAGTGAAACTGTATACTATAGTGACATAAAATGGGTTAAAAAAACAAGAGAAAGAAAAACCTCTGGTCAAGGCAGGAATTGGGGTAATTTCCTCAGGAAACCCAAGAAGGTGTAGGATATGAGTAATGAAGATAATAGGCTCTGTTTCCAGGTTAAGAATATCAGATAGCTGGATTTTGAAAATTACTATACCTAGCATTTCTAGGTATTAGTGTAAATAGCATTTTCTGAAAGCTTATTGCATATTTTTTCCTTTCCTTTGGCTCCCACCTTCCCCTGATCTGTGATGACAGTCCTGCTAGACTTTGTCTAGCTACTGAAGCTAGATTGCATCTCAAGCACTCTCGACCTTACAGAAGTTCTGATGAAGACTTCAGATGCGTAAGCTGGTCCTTTGTCTCTAACTTATCTAACTTAGGGAAAAGCTAATTCCCAAATAAATTTCACTTAATGAAATGATTAACCACAGAACTGAGGTTTTGGAGACATTGTAAGTCACACGGGGACTTTTATAAACTCAATTAAAACAGTGGTATCAAGTGATTGTTATATGTTCTTGTAACACTTCATGTAGCAGAGAACTGTGTTATCAGACTTTGAGAAATAGGTGAATATTAACAGAAGTCTCTCCTCATGGGTCAGTCCCTAAAGAGGCAACACTGTGTTGTTATCTGTGTACGGCTCTCATTGTTCAAACACTTCCTATTCCCTCTCCCTTCCCTACCACTTGGAGACATAAGCTCACAGCTCAGTCCTTTCAGTTGCTAGCACTCCTGAAAACCATGAATACCAGCATGATGTGCCGATATTCATTAGCTGACAGAGGTAAGTCTTCATTATTCCTTTCCATCCTCCTCACATCTTCATCTTTCTCAGTCCCTCCACCCCCATGCTTTCCTCTTTTTGCTCTCAGTTTCCCCTTTGCCATTTCTCCCTCTGTTCCTCTTAAATAACATATAGGCAATACACATATAGTGGACAGAGAAAAACATTCTGAACAAAACTTATGTTAACAGAAGCAAGAAATATAAGTCTCTGAGAAGTGGGGTATATTAACTGAGACAAAGCATTTACTTTCCTTCAGCAAGAAAATGAGCTAACTCTTAAGTTAGGTCCTGTATTTCTGCAGAGTGTGGCACTGTGCCAAGCTGAACTCCAGAGAGTGGGAAAAGGAGAGGCCTTATGAGTAAAAATAAACAGACCCAAATGTATGCACACAGCCCAAACCCAGAGCTTGGGAGTGCTGGGCGTAAGCTGTTTTCCACTACTGCCTACAGAGGATTTCAGAAAATTTATGGGACACCGAGATCAGAATTTGCAGCAGCCAGAGGGGACTAACTCAGAGTGTGTATTTTAGGAATGGCTGTCCTATTCAGTTTGCCTTTATTTACTTCTTATCTTCCTTGTACACATGTGCAGCACCAACTCAACCTTATGTAGTCACCTGGTCACTTTGTCCATCACACAAACCTCAGTAACGAATACATCAGCAGAGCTTAATGTAATTCCACCCATCAGAGAGGGGTGTTTGAAAAACACAGGCAAGCACTAGAATTTTCTGGTAGGAGCACAGTAGTCATGAATATATGTAAAGAAATGTGCTATTTACTCAACAGTGAATACCCATGTAGCTGTTAGCAGCATGATGAGGTGCCCTGTACTTTACATACCAATTTCAGTTTTATTCAGTAACAGTTCTTATTCCCCGTGGACTCCCCAGTCTGCTGCAAACATCGATGCTTCTGTGTACTTTGAGAGTATACAGTCATCAACATCAGATATTCTATTACCCATAAGGTTGAATGGTTTTGGCCAGACCCTGATATTAACTACAGTAACAGAAAATATAAGACCTATTTGTATAAACTCACTGTATTCCACAAAGAATTCTTAAAATTGCCTTTAGAGTCTTACTGTGTTCTTGAGTTTTATAAATATCTAAAAAGTCAGAATATTTTATGAATATCTAAAAGTCACATCTACCTCAAAATGAATCCACTAAAGGAAGACAGTTTTTGTTTATACCTGGATCTATTCCAATCAGGGTCTCTAGAGTCTTTATCTTTTGGGCTGCTTCTGCTGACACAACACTGAATTGCAGAGGATCTTGAGAAATGCAGTGGACTTGTGGGACTCCCCTTAATGATCCGACGTTGTTGTTCTTTAGGTCGGTAATGAACATGCAGCCAGGAGAATGAGTAAAAGCTAATGGAGCTCCTAAAATGGATGAAAAAAACTCCAGTTAAATGTTATTATTGCAATATATTGAATTATCAGAGCGATAAAATTGCAAATAGCTACTTAATTTAACAACACAGAGCCCCTGCCTGATGACACTTATACAAACAGGTGATATTTTAAGTTACACTGCAGCAATTAATACACTGAGAAAGAAATGTATGCACATACATCTGAAAACGCTTTCACTTTTAAAAAGCTCACGTGGGTAGTTGAGATCAGTTTTTTCCACAATATCCTCTCTAGTCTAAACTTGAGGCAACTTAGGAACAGAACCCTCCCAGGATGTTGGTCGGGAATTGAGTCTGAAACTTGGGTTTGACATGCATGAAGCAACTAATGCACTGAGGTAATGACAACATAATGCTTAAGTTTGCCCAGTGTGTTGGTGAAATTGTTTCTGTAAGAATAAATTAATTTTTCAAATTCTAGAGTGGTGCTGGAAGCTATAATGTCTCTCTTGTACCTTTGAATATTCTTATAATAGTTATATGACAAAACTGTCAACTCTTCCTGCTGGCCAGGAGTAGTCTATCAGATTAAGAAAATGGGGACTAGCATCTCTGCACAGTGTCTTGCCAACCTAGCTAGAAGAGCTATAACTGGCAAGGAATAATGACAAAAGGTGACCCATAAGCCTTAGCAAAGGGAATCTGAGTAGCCTCTAAAACCCTGGAGAAAAATAAACTTGTTTAGACCCGACAGTATAGCTGAAAATATTTCCTGTCTTTCTACTAATTCCAGAAGTCTGGATCTAGATGATACTTGATTTGGCAAAACTGGTACATTGTTAGATAAATCACAACTGGTATACTCAAGCAAAAATTTACTTTGTTAGGAGGGTGAAAAGGGAGGAGATAATTCTTTAAGAAGTACATATATCCTTGGTTTGTACTAGATCTGCTGGGAATCTGTGGCTAGTAATTTGAAAGCATGTGGTGAACATGGTTGTTGAGTTTTAGTATAACTCACCAAACCCTGTGAGCAGACAATATTTTTTGTGACAAGGTTGCAGATTCATCTAAAGTATGAGTACTGGTGATATGGCAGAATTTTAACTACTTAGCTGAGAAAGAAGCACAGTAAGATAAGAACTGTGCAAGAAGTTCCTGGAATGCACTAATGACAACTGGTTTTAATAAAGAAAATGGAGAAGTAAGCAGAAGGCAGCACAGACAGTTGCTTTGGGCAACAGACTGTAGAGTTGTTGGCAATATTTTTCTCTCCTTTCCCTGCACCAAGAATGCACAAGGAAGATGGACAGAACTGCTGAAGAACACAGGAAAGAGTGGGATTTTCAGCTTGGATTTGGGACTGGAAAAAAGAGATTGTATGTAAGAAAGAAAAAAAGTCACTTCTAGAGCTTAACATACTTAGAGCAGGTGATGAGAGAAGTTCAGATAAACATCTGTTAGGAACCACAAGGATATAACAGATCCTGCAAGGAGACAAAGACAAAGCAGGTGACCTTCTAATGTTCTCCCCATTATACTGCCTACGATTATTAAGCTTCTTTTTCAGTAAGAATGAAAATTTGGTATTTCATTTCACACTAGTGACTTAGAGCAGTATATAATCCTGTCACCGGTTTCGTTGCCTGTTCTTACCCTTTGTGCTCATGCCTGTTATAAATGACTGCATAGAGTAGAGGACAGCTCTGTGCAGAGGACAAAGCTTCATTTATGTAAAGTGTGTCACATATACTTAATTTTGGAACAAAATCTAAAAGCTCCACATTCTCCGTGAGACAATTACGAACCCTTTTCCAGATCAATCAATTTGCTAGCTCTTGACAACATTTTGGAAAGAGTTCTTGTTGCTCCTTTTTTTTCCCCTTCTTTTTTTCTTTTTCCTTTACTGTTGTTTTTCTGCAATGTAATAAGAAATAATATTTTAAAAGGAAGAAGCTTAAAAATTAATGCCTTTAAACTTCTAGTTTTTTGTAACGCTTAAAAAGATGTTTTGATGCTGCCAGAGCTTTAGATTTAAGCCTTTAAAATACACGAAAGTGGTGAAATTTCAGTAAGAATTTTCTTTAAAGTAGACTTGTATTTCAGAATGGAAAACAGTCCTGTCAAAGGCTTTTTTTGTTGTTTGGTTGAGGTGTTTTTTATCTTACCCTGAAATCAAGCCTTCTAATCAGCCAACTCATTCAGTCTGCATTAGAAAAAAGGAAAGGAAAAAAGGAGATCGAAGGATAATGTAAAAAGAGTCTTCAAACAGCACATACTGCAGTTGATAACTGCTTCTGCTCCTGTTACTCCACAGGCCCAGAACACTGGAACATCACCAGGGTGAAGGTGAACTGGATCTCCATAGTCTGGTTTAGAAAGATCTTGTATTCCCAGCAGACCTGGAATTGATCAAAAATTAAATCATGAGCGATTCTAATTAAGTAGTAATACTTCAAAGCCTGGGGGTGGACCCCAAACATCATTTAGTGACACTGAGCTAGGAGTGCAAGAGTGTCAAGTCCCCCTGAAGTGGCACATTTAGTTTGCTTTCGAGTGCGTATCCTCAAGAGCCTGAGCTGACTTGTTCTCCCTTTTTGATAACACCGGTAAAAATGTATTTACCTTATTTCTGTAACAAAATACAAGCTAGACATCTATGCTGAGTTTCCAAGACAATATAAATCATCTATATTGACAGAAGAGTTACATTCATAACACTGGCAAACAGGAATAAATGACTGCAATGCAAAATGAGTTCTTTCTAGAACATATTTTTTACTGCTTTCACTTCCTACATTCTCTAGCAAGAGAAATGATCAACCGCTCTTCTTCCTCTCCAGCTTAGATAACTACATCTCATTCTTAGCCAGCTTTCACTAAATTGTCTTTTGCTTTATTCTGACACTTACTTTATTCTAACATCCTAATCTGGGTCATTCTAAGCACTTGTTATCTTCCCTCGGTTTTAAATTTTTCATATGCTCTAATATACCACTGTCTTTTCTGGAATTAATTTATATGATCTGTGTATATATATATAATCTTTTCTGTAAAAATAAACTAATAATGGAGTCCCTCACTCATCTTGTTCCTCTACTCATACTAATGACTTATTACTAGTTCCTCAGATTGAAGTACTTGGATATGTTACTCAAATATGCTACTGGAGTGTCATGTTAACCAGTGACATCTCCTTCCATGCCCAGCAATGTGATCCTTCTGTGTATGCAGCCCATGATTACCAAATTTCTGACAGAAGAGGGGAAATGATTGCAATCTATCTTCATATTACAGGTGCTTGTTTGGTTTTGTTCTTTTTCAAACAGCCTCCTGACTTACAATTTTTTTTCTCAGTTTTCCCTTGCAAAGAATAGGCCTACACTTGTTTAAACTAGGTTTTAAAGGAAAAAAATTCTTGTCATATTTCTATTTATTCTGTCTTAAGTGTTGTGCTCAATGTATGCTATTTCAATATTTTTAAAAATAATGCAGTATTTACTTTCACAGTCACGCACTAAGACACAAAATGCATCCACACATACTTCTCTCCATGCTGTCAATCACTGCTACCCTGTCCCTGGAATCTCTGACAGCAAGAAAGTATTCACATAGAAATGAAACTGCATACATTTCAGAAAAATGTGATTACACTTTTTTACCAAAACCACTGCTGCCATATAACTTAATTTATCTACATCAGAGAGCTATCTTTTATCTAAGAAATCTATGTGTTCAGCTCAATTTTTTTGGTTTAGTTTCTTTTGGTTGGGTTTTTTTTTTTTTGGTTGTTGTTTTAAATTCAGGTTTGTGATCGTTGGAAGGATTAAAGCATAACAAATTTAGTTGTGCAGGTATTTCAATCTTACCACTTCCCATGGTTTCCCCCATCACTTTTATACAAAGTAAAGTGCATGCAGAGTGAAAAATGAAAAGCACTGACCAGGGTCACCCATGTGAATTGGTGCTCCGTGGGCTTCTTTTAATTCAGACGTTGCTAGCACAGCTGCTTCCAACTTGCTTTCAGGAATAGGTCTCATTGTGACTACTAAGTTGCACCAAAAGGGAGAAACGCTGTAGCAAGGCACAGTTGTCTGGCAGTTCAAAAGAATCCAAGGTGTTAGCAGGAACATTGAATGATACTTCTAAAGTATTAGAATAAATACGTCTAAAACATTGTGCTGTACTTGACTTTAGAAAGGCTGTGTGGTGACATTAATTTTAAATCCTTTAAAAAAAATTCTTAGTATCCCATTTTTTTTTCTTGTAAGATTCCTTACTGGAGGCTTCATCATATAGATCATTAAAAATTTCAACATCATGCATTTCTTGCTTCAGTGAATACAGCTAGGTGACCTCAGGATATTCTGAATGTTGTTAGAAAGCAATGGTGTGTTCCCTATACAGAAAGGGAAAAAGCTAATAAAAAATCATTGTACAGCTACAAATCTGTTTGGTCTGAATCTACTCTTTGTACTTGAATACAGTGCTCTGTAACACACCAGGGTCAGGAACTGCTGCTGGCAGTACCCACTTCTACAGAAGAAGCCAGTTTCATACATACAAAATCTTTCATGCCACTGCAAATGTTCTATGGAATTCATAATCCTCACCAACAGGAATGCTGAAGCACCTTTTCTATTTAGAAATAAAGCAGGTCGGCTTTTTAGAACAAAATGTCTGATATCTGAGTTACAGTTGAACATAAACAAGATATGCAGAGAGCTAGAGCTGTCTAGAAAATGTTCATTTGAAGTCTTTATAATAACAATAATCACACCTGTCACTGAAGAAACACACAGTGCAGTTCTTCACAGCATTGATGTACCATAAACTATAAAATTTTCCTAATTCTGAAATTTATAAGCAGATACATAGTTGTATTTTTTTTCTTTATCTTGGTATGAGGACTCACATATGAGATACATTTTGACCAGGAGCATAGCAAAATAATTGTGAAATGGTAACACTGAAAACAATAAGAACCTTTGCCTAAGAGAACTGCATCTGCACTAAATGAAAAAGGCATGCAGATATGTACTTCGGTGTTCTTAGTCTACCTAGTGGAGCCAAAATTATTCTAAGACCTCTGTTAACATTAAAATCTACACCATAAACTTTCTGAGCACAGTCATAATTTTCAGTGCTATGGTAGACACCTCAAGTCTTCAGGAACATCTTCTGTCCCAGAGGTTTGGGTTTGTAGCAAACGTGCAGTTTAAAGGTTCTACTTTCACTGAAAAAGTCCAAAACGTGGCTGTTGTGCAGAAGAAACTGCTACTCTCATCATCATCATGGCTAGGCTTCGTGAATGAAGATTATAATGGCTCATAAAACGACTATAATGGCTCATAAAAGGAATATTCCATCTGCAAGTTGGAGTTGGTATGGAGAGGAGGACATGTAAAGGCATGGTCAGAATAGGGCATGGGTCACCATTTAAAACACAGAGGGCAAACCAGAACAGAATCCAAATGAAAGGGCCACCACAAGACACAGGGGGAAAACTTTGCCACAAAAAATAAATAAAAAAGCAGACTGGCCTTGCACTGAACTGGGGCTGGGAATATTCTACCCTGTATTTTTATGCACTCAGCACTAGAGCATGACTGAAGTTACTGTATAGGTAGAGAAAAAAAGTTCTTATTTTGAGCAATAGGTATTATGCACCCAACACGAATATGGACAAAACTCACAGCAAAGTTACAACAAAGACTATGTGTGTGTGCATATACTTACTTTGTACATGCTCACATTACATTTTTGCTCAACGTTTCTTACAGGAATGCCTGCACTTAGGACTGCTTTTTCAAAAGAGAAGCTGCAGCCTAAATAAAATGTCACCATGTCCTTCAGTTGTTCAGAATACTCCTTCAGACTTCTCAGTGATCCAGTACAAACTCCATGCTCATATACTCGGTACTGTAGGCAGTCAGTTCTAGTGAAATAAGAATTTATCACAGCTTTATTATATTTTTTTGTAAACAAAGTGAATTGGTTGAATTGACATTAACCCAGTATCAAAATACAAGATACAGCCTACTTTATCTACTTTCTGAGTAACTTTATCTATCTTTCTGAGTAACAATGAAACAAAAATGCAAAAACTTCATAACACCTTTTTGTGCACAAAACCAAGCCTGTAAACACAACATGTTAGAGTTTGAGATTTTTAGGTTTTATAGGTAAAGGCCCCTTATATGTATCTTGTCTCAGGCTTTCAAAAATTAGGAAGCTGGTTTAAGTCTTGTTTTTAGTGTTTACCACAGGAATGAATCTTTCAAATTTCAGAGACCCTACAAGTATCATGTACTTACCATGGCCATGTTTCTACTAAATAAAACAAATGTAAAACCCTATTATTTAATTCTGCTGGCTCAGAGTGCAAAATATTTAGAAATTACACAAAATTACACAAATACTTGTAATACTGACAATTATCCTAGCATGTTTCTCAAGAACAAGATAACCAGGCTGTTAGACATAGTTTTCACTCAAAGGTATAGGAAAAGAAATGTGTTCAAAATGTACAACACTGTAAGGAGGCTGTTTCCTGAAATCCTCTGTTCTAAAACCCTCAAACCATCAGTATTCACTGCAGTACTTTGACAGGCAGGGTTGGGCTGTAGTTACCTGATATCAGAATCACTGCTCAGAGAAGGACATTTCCAATCACCTGGTTGACTTCTGGACAGCAGTGGCAGGGGTCCATCATTTGCACGGCAGAACTTCTCAAAATTATCAGCCAGGGATTTATGCAAAATCACAACATTGGCCTGTTTATAGCCTGAAATTGTGGAAGGTTGGAATGAATGGTTATTAATTCAGCTTTCTATTTGTGAAACAATAACTTTTCCATATAGATTTCTTTAGATAGTCTATAAAAAATTACCTGAAGGAAATTTTCGATTCAGAATGCTGCAATTAAATTAAACAACTTCTTGAAATGTTTCAAAAACCGTACTCTGTATGTGAAGTCATTCACAGCTAAAATAGTTGGCAGGCATGGGTATTAGTAGAATATGAAGACAGCATAATTACTTTAATAAACATTTCTATGAATTTAAACATAAACATAATTTATTACCTAACCTGGGGAATTAGTGTTCTGTAGGAAAATGCTTTACTTTGCGAATGTTAGCCCAGAGCCAAGGAAAGGCTACTTTCACAATTATTTTTCACAATACCGAGCTACAGATCATGTCCAGTACAACAATAAACCCATGGTATCTTGATGTTGGTTTGTAGCCCATTCTTTAGAATTTCTTGACTGTAGAATTTTATTGTAGGCTGCAATTAAACAGACATGATTAGAGTTTGGAAATAAACTCTTGCCTGTCCACTGATCCTCAGTCACTTCCACTATTGCTAAATAAAAAAAACCCTAAAAAACCCCAAAACCAAAAACAAACTGCTACACTTCCTTAACTTGGAATCAGCTCTGATTTAAAAGGTTGTTGACTACTACCATAAAATAGCTTCTAAAGACATTAACATTTTTGCAATAAGTACCACTGAAGAAAGGTCCCATTCATTTATTTAGCAAAAATTTATTTTCTAAACAGTAGTAGTTAATACCAATGCCATTTAAATTTTCCTGCATGTAAATGCCAGCTGTTCAAATACTTAGAGGAAACTTGGAGTACAACTTGTCTGTGGTGTATATACCCAGCAATTAACAGTCCCTAACTCTGGTACTGATACTTTCTTGAAAAGTCATTACCATTACTGTCTGATATCAGTCAGGTGAGTAGGAGGCTGCATAGATGCACTCACTGTCTTAAATACTGCATTAACCTGTCATCCAATCTTTAAATCAATGATCTGCCTTCAAAGGTTGTAGGAAATCAGCCAAATCTTACTCTTGACCAAAGCTAACAAAGAAATCCAAAGATAAAATTCCATTCCTGATGGAAAAATGCAAAGCAAAGGCTGAGGTGAGCATGTATTTGCATACTGAATTTGCCCACAAACTGCTCTCTTGGGCGTACTCAGCGCAAAAATTCATTTTATTACTGGCAGAAGTTACTAAATACAGAAAGAGCTTCTTGCTAAACACAGAAAAATATTTTTGTTAAATAAACATACTAAATTTATCACTGAATAAAACACTACATTCGGTTACCCCTCAACTTCATTCCCTACCATCAATAAGAAATCCACAGGCACTTTCTACTTTGCTAGTGATATTCATGAATTCTTAAAATTATGGTTTTATTTGGTGCATTCAACTCAGACAGTGCTGAATTTAACATACTAGTTATAGCTGACAGACTGAACCTGCAGGAAAATATTGGATAAACTCAGGAAACTTCATTATAACATTTTCAGAATTTTACTGCTGCTCCCAATAGCTACCCTTACTTTTTTTGTATCAATGAAAAAATACTTTTTCCTTCCTTTATCTTGTCACATATTCACTTGCATTATGGAGCCATCATTATGAATGTATTCACAAGCAACAGTAGTGAAACTGGATGTGCTGATCAACCTGGGCATTAATTCAACACACTCATGTCCTAATTCAGAGAAGTTTAGAAAGAGCTTTTAATTTCTCTGGTGAATGACAATGAGGACAGCAAGAAATAATTGGTTTGCTTGTGCATCATAACAACAACGTAACACAATTTTAAGGATTCTGAGAAATTCCAGTTACTTAAGTGTTCCAATAGTTCTTTTAGTCTTTGTATAATGAAGCTGTATGCTCAAAAACTCATTTTGTATGTCAACAATACTTTTTTGAAATGTTAGAACCAATACATTTGAACTTACTGCAGCAATACACGCACTTAAAAATTCAGCTGGGGCAAACTCCAGATTATTAACATTATAACTTTTTTTGTTATTATTTTTCAACTTATGTTCTGATGGAAAAGAAAAACACAATTTCAAGACTCATTATGATCTAGAAAATGACCTTTAACATTCTTATATTATAGTAATGCTACTACACACAGCTTTGCTGATCAGCTATTTGCCACAGTATTTTTAGTTGTTACATTTTAAAGTTGATCAGACCAAAGACAGACTTCTCTGCTTCTGTAGAAGTCCAGCTATGAGAGGCAAGACAAAAACTGATCTTCCAGAATGCATTCAGTTATCTGAGTATAACACTAATTTTTCCCTCCCCCTTACAACTCCCATTCTTGCTGAGTCAGTAATTTCCACCTTTGCAACAAATGAAGCAGAAAACCACTGCTGTAACTATATATTTTAAATTCTTCCCCAAAGCATATCTGATGTCTTAAGTAAAGCAATGTCTCTGTAAAGAACACAGTAGGTCATTCTACACATGTGATAATAACATGAAAAAAACCAGATTCGGTTAAAGATTTGCCAAGTATTTCCTGCATCCATAATTTCTCAATGACACAACTGGGAGCTGAGGGATTGCAAATGAAGTCCATGTATGTTATTCAGGTACAATGGTATATTTCCTCTGATGTAGCTTTCTGTCTAAAAACCACTGTCAGGTGTTTACAATGTGATTTCAAAACCACCCAAGAACTTAACATTTTCAATTTAATATTTATCAACTTAACATTTTCTTTTGTTTTATTTCAGTGCTTTTGATATTTCTACATTCCTTCACAAACAATAAAAAGAAAACATATAGTTATGAATCTAAAATGGAACCATTTTTGCACAAAGAGCAGTTAGGTTTACTTACCTTCTGCCATGCCTGAAGTATTACTAACACTGAGTCTGTTTAATCGAATTATTCTTCTTAACACATGGGGAAGGAGAGATTTCAAGCCTCCTGTCAAAAGCATCTTTTCATCCTTAACAGAAAGATAATTATAAATTTAAACACAATGCACTTTTTTTTTGACATCTTAAATGTTGATTTTCTGGAGAACTTAGCTTAAGTTTCCTCCTTGTGTTTCACCAAAGCTGTTATCACTGGGAAATTCTAAGTTATAACTCAAAAGGCAGTTCCAAGTCAAAAGGTTATCTCACTGACATTTTATGACTACGTATAAATGGAATCTTTCAATAAATTAGCTGGAGACATGCTTTTTAACATTTCGGATAAAATGCAAAATTTTGCTGGTCTGTAATGTAAGAAACAGACTTCTTTCTTTCCTGATAAATATTCATTTTCTAGAGTATTCACTTTTTCAAAATTCATTGTAACTTTAAAATTCCAAAAGCACAAGCGGATTTACCTACCAAGCTATAATCTGTAATATTATTTTTCTAATCAAAATGCTTTTAGACAATTAGCAAGGCAACCTTGCAGTAAAGAGAGAACTGTATTCAGAAAATGTCATTGTAGTACATTCCACAGGTATTATGCTTTTCAAATATTAATTATGTAGAAGTGAATACTCCTATGGCTATTCTTCCACTCAGAAAGCAGACATATAGATGTTTAAGTCACTTGTCATACAATCTGGAGTAGGCAAAGAAGTAAGTACCCTAATTACAGGCAATATCTGTCTCTTTTTACATCTTTTAAAGGTTTTAAATGTCTTTTTTTCTGCAATCCAGATGAAGTTCAAACAGTTTTTTTCTCAACTAAACTACCTAATAACTAAAAAGGGTTTATTACATCACTATTAGGAAAAAGTAAGAGTTAAATCAGGGTAAAATAATAACTTGTCTGCTTAAGATTTTAACTTTGGTCACTTTTAGGTAAAGAAACTGAACTATCCTCCAAGTATTCGAATTACCAACCTCCAAGTTTTCCTTTAATTCAGAAGAAGTCATTCTTGATGTCATTCATAAGAAGTAATAAATACAATAGAAGTGGTGCTGCTCTTTTTAAAAGATGCTAGTAAATTAATGTATAATGAGGTGTTACAACCTTCTAGCAAAAGTTAACTTTTCTGTTAAAGGTCCACAGTTTTTGTGTTATACCTATTACAGTACAAAGTTTCACTCTCACAGTGGAGTGGAATATTGTGAAAACTTGTACCTCTGAGCAATCATTCCTTAATTAACTTGAAGATCAGTGATATGTTTTGACTGAAATTGTACTTTCATCCTAGTCAGTCCAAAACTTTCCCAAAGCTTTTCCCAAAGCTTTTCAGAATTCAGAGAGGTTAGGTTGGGTATTCTGAAATTTTTATATAACATTGTCAGCCAAAACAAAACACTAGGGTTTTTTTTCTGAATTCTAACTTACTACTTTCTAATTCTTCTCTACTTTGCTACTTTACATTATCATTCCGTAAGCTGCACAAAAATAGGACTATGAATACCAGTCATGCCAAAATGTTGGCTGTAGGTACTTTACAGAAGCACTTGGGCCTCTTGCTCCTACCTGAGAATAAACATATGTTGTTGATGACTTGTTAGAAAGTGAATAATTTAAACATTAACTTTGTATAAGAGCAGACTGAAACAAAACTCACCTTCCCGTGGTGATTTTATATAATAATAGGGAAAACTCAATAGGATTAACATTCTGAGTTATAACTTTAAATCACTGTATTTACTGTATAATATCAGTAATAGATTATGCTGTTATTCTTGTTTATTATTTGCTAAATTTGGGTAGATAATAAAAACTGTTAGATGTTCATAGTAAAACCTAGCTTTTCCTACATGACTTGCCCAGGAATGGCTGGTTTCTATGCAGTATGCTATTTCTCTATGCTAGGTTTAGATTTTTCTATATTTTTATTTCTCTATGTCAGGTTTAGATTCCCCAACCAGCTCTAGAACTTCCTGAAAAATCCTTGCAGCTATCATGACTATGGTGTGCTTGGAATGACTAGGGAGAAGCACCAAGATAACCTGGGTCTTAAAGTATCTTTTCCTCCTTGTGCCATCAGGATGCTTAATGAAGTGTAGAGACTGGCTTCATGGGGGCCCCAAGCAGCACTCTAACTAAACAGCCTGATACAGTGGTTAATCAGTTATCAGGGTCTGTGCCTTGGCAGAGGTTTTACAATTCCTTTAATTTTCTTCTGAGATGCTTATAATTATCTGAAACTACCAGTTATCTCATGAGGATATGCTGGATCATGATACAAATAAAGAATAAGTGTTAAAAAGGCCTTAAAAGAAAAGATCCTGAGAGTGCATATAAAATGGCTGTTGTGCCTGAGGGTATCCTATGCTTCCCTCCACAAAGGGACCCTAAGATTTGGCTTTCCAGTGTGTTGCCTTTAATGGAATGAACCTCTAAAGCATGCCAGATAGAATCCTGGGTAAACAGCATTTGGAAAGCAGGTCGCTTACTGTCTGCATAATGATAAAGTTCATACTTAAAGCACCAGTCTGAAAAAAGATCTTGTTTTCAGTCATGTTGCTCACATCAGACTCACTGACTTACAACACCAACAACTAACATTGTACAGCTTTGTAGCACTGAAGTATTAAGTTCGCTCATGAAGAACCTTTTGGTTCCATAACAGAAACACAGTAAGTGCTTTTCTTTTTAGAGGTTTACATGAAGATAATGTATTTCATGTTTATCTTGAGTTTATTTACTGAACTTAAATGAATAAATATTAAAATATATTGCTATTTGAGACATTAAGATGGCACTTACCCACTACTGATTTGTGGACACTACTATATCCTGAGCTGCACTTCCAGATCTTGACAAGCATGATGAAACTTCAAAGCTGGAAAGAGATGAGAATAATGTAAGGAGCTGTATGATCAGACACTGATGGCAGTATGGCTTATGCTAGATCAGTAGTTCAGAATAATGAATCCATTTGTCAGAAGCAATATTGTATTGAAATGACATTATTTTAAAAAGATATAGATATATATTCAAGAAAAAACTTTTCTTTGCATTGCAGTGGCAGTCAGGAAGTACAGATATGTACGAGCTTTGGTAAAAGTTCTAAACGGATCTTGAGTATGGCTTTAATAAGTAACATAAAATTGTTGGTTGACATCTTCATTTAATATATATCTCTGCAGCACCACTCCAGTAGAGTTAAGTGAATACACTCTACCTGATTAATTTGGCCCAGCTGATTTCCAAAATATCCCACTACCCCGACAACAACAATTTTCAGGAAAGCCAGATTTAGAGGGTGAATATTTTTTTATTTGAAATTGTGATCCCTTGTTGCCATGTGAAGCTCTAAGTCATTAAGCATTTCTACATGCTGTTCTCAGAGCCCTAGTTGAGTACAGGTGACAGTGTAATAAAGTGCCGATCTTTGCTGAGGGGACTGGAATGGGACTGGTTCTAAGCCTCATCTTCATAACTAATTGTAAAAAATATGCTCTATTTACCCTGAATCCCATAACTCATGAAAGAAAAAGGGCATGTTGAGAGGAATGTTACTTTATCCTGTTAAAAACCATGCTGCTCTCAAGAGGCGTATCCTTGTGTCCTGATTTCAGTCAGGACAGAGTTAATTTTTTCACAGTAGGGGTGATGGGAGGAAGCCATGTGGGTGTGTATAGGTTGCTATTCTGTACCACCCATGTCATCACCACGGAGTGGAAATAAGGGACTCTTGCTGCTGGGATGGAGAGTGTGGCTTTGGGTGGAACAAAAGCATGGGGACCATTGTTCATTGTTGCCTAGGGTCTTCAGTGGGTATTTTTGCATGTGAATCACCCTATTTTTGTATGTTTTTGTTATTAATATTGTTGCTATTCTGTTCGTTTTCTTATCTCATTGCTATTTCCATAAATTGTTCTTATCTCAACCCGCGATCCCTGTCTTCTGTGTCTCTCACCAGAGGGAGAGAGTGGGAGTACTTCTTTTTAGTGGGAGTAATAAATTGGGGAATACCATTCCCAAACCATGACACCTTGCCTGTCATATAACTTAAGAGACTCACAACTTCCTATCTCCAAGCCCTGTATGGAAACAAAGTTAGTTACTGCACATCAAGTTAAGAGTTAAAAATGCGAAGTAATGCTTGGAAAAAGTGACCAATACCATCCACCTTTGCCAAATAATATGAAACCCAACATGAAGCAAGAAAAATGTAATTCCAGACAGGATTTAATAAAGAAGCTGCCTTGCCTTTCAGATGACTTGTATGATGGACAGAATAGCCTCTCTGCATGTCCCAGGCTATTTCTTGTTTCCTCCCTTTTCTGTTGTCTACAGTGTGCCTTTATCTCTGCAGTTTTTTCTCCCTAAGCTCAGACCTCTATCTCCATAACTCCAAGTTGGACTGATCTTCGTAGCACTTCCTTCCTTGGTTTATCTGACTGTGCCCTCAGCAATATGGGAGTTTGGATGCTTTCTCTCCTCTCACTAGCTCTTTTTAATTTATATACTTGATGTATCTCTCAGTTGTACCTTAAGTTCTCAGTTTTCAATCTTAAATGAGCTTTTCCTGTTCCCAGTCTGAGACAAAATAATCTAACTTCAGAAATCATAACACACAATAAATTCACAAATGGTTTCCCAGACTTGTAAGATTTATACTCCTCCGAACCTACCTATACTCACGTGTGTGTGTGTGTGTGCGTGTGCGTGTACATATACATACATATAAATATGTATATCTCTCCCCTTTTAATATTACAGACAGGCTTGGCTTAAGCATATTTTTTCTAATTATTTTCTCCTTAATTTTTGACAGTGGAACCACCAACTAGCCTTGCAAAGTAATGTATCTTTACATTGAATTGTTGACTGAGCTGTAGTTTATAAACCATTTTTACAAGCTGCAGAACATAATCTCTTTAGAGAAAAAGAAGGAAGTGCAGTAAGTGAAACATTTTATATTACCTTAGAGCTTTCAACATGAAAAAGCGAATCTGTAAATTTTGCAGATATTTAAATATGAACATAGATTTGTTACAGGCCCACATTGTAAATTATTCATTACACAAGAAAATGGAAAAATGTCATTTAAGTGTCAGAAGGATTACACTTTGAGATGCAGTGGGTGGGTCCGTACTGCTGTGCTAAACCACACCAGATAAAAATGAATCAAAAAATTACATAATAACACAAAGGATTAAAACATCCTTCAGAAGTGTCAGTGTGATTGCTTTGCCTTTACATGTCAAGTTAATTAATGAAATAAAGCTAAAAACATAGTATTTCTGTGGTTTCAAAAATGGATCACCCAAGAATACACTGCCTGTAAAAAGTACCATCAGTAAAAGTAATAAACAAGTAGGTTTGAGGACTGCAAAGTAGTTAACACCAGTTTCTGGTGTTAGAGATTACAGGCCTGTTTCTCCAGTGGTACTGATACACCAATAAGAATATGGTTTAATGCAGTGACTTGCTTGCAAGGAGCCCAAACACTTACGAAATACAATCTTGCATTGCTTATATCACTTTTGTCCTATTTTCAGTTTAAAGTTTGATAATAAGAATGGGTGGTGGCATGTATGGGTTCATTGGCCAAGAAAGTGCAAGGGTCACTTGCACACTGCTAGGCAGGTTTTTTTAGATATTATCACGCAGATATCTTACACAAAGCTACTGCCTCATGAACAGAAACAGCAGGGTAACTGAAATATGAGCCAGCCCATGGGCTGCCTTTACTGATACATAATGGAAAGTAATCTAAACTAATTACAATCTAACAAATGCTTTGTGTACTATGCCTTGCCCTAGTATGAATATGGTTACAGAGACTTGTTAGCATAAACACACTTTAAATGACCTGCTGTTTAATCATCAAGCTGATGTGAAATTCTGCCAGGAGACTTCTGTGTAAAGCATAGACTTCTCTGAAATTTAGTCCATTTGATTTTCCAACAGTCTCTCAGTTACACTTGTGATCTTTTATTTGAAGAATCAATTAATGATCCTTTTTCTTTGCATCTGCTATGAATCATTTCAAAGCACAGAAGTTCTCTGTGTATCATTCCAAAAGGGGTATGCTTTGTGTATTTTCAGACAGTGCTTCATCCAGCAAATTATGATTTAACTTTACATTTGAAATACAGGGAATTTACCTTTGAAGTTTATGCACCTTTGAGGACTGCAAATAGAAATTTAAATTAGCTTCCATTAGTGTTCTGTGTGCTGCTTAAGGCAGCTAGCCTATACTCAAGATCCTGCAGACTATGTCAGGATGAGAAACTGATGACAGAATCAATGTATCTTTGATGCAATCTTATTTACTTGCAAAAAAGACATACAATGTTTAGTTTCTCTTGATAAAATAACAGAACAAAAAACAGAAACCCACACCAGTTTCAAAGCAGCCCTTTCAGAGAGCACTGCATGTTAGTGTGACCACTGCACTGGTATTATTCTACACTCAGCTTCTACTCTGGGACAAAATAAATTATTTCTCCAGTGGAGAAATATGGGCAGAGAGTAGAAAACAGTTCTCACCACAGCCCTGCCCTTGCATGGGCACAACCTATGCAAGATCCCAGCAGTTTAAGCTTTTTCATGCTGCAAAGGATTAGGCCTCATGACTTCATACTCCCTTCCAACTCCTTGAATCATATCCTAATACCTACATTCCTGCCTCATCACCTTACAAAAACACATGACCAACAAGTTTTCAAACAGTCATTTACATGCACCTCCAGTAAGATACGGTACACACCTAAGGACTTCATCGAGATTTAAAACTGCTACTTCCATACCTCTGACTTTGCTGACAGGAATACTCAGCAGCTGCAATAAGAAGAGACAGCAAATGATCCAGCAGAGGTTGTTTTCATATAAGATGACAAGATGTGCTTATTCAACTTCAAGAAATTGAAAAAAAACGTGAGGGTATGAGGGTGGTATTTAAATATAGTTTCCCAATCTACACTGAGTTACAGAAGACCTTTGGAACTTCTCCACAATTCTCTGGGCTTGGTCCAGCTATCAATTCTCAGCCTCTTCTGGCACTCAGACAGTCCAAGAATACTGGGGGACCTTGCCTGCAGGACATCAGTGCCAACCTCTCCCCTGCCCCTGTGGCAGCACTGGCCAGCTAGCAGCACACTGCACAAAGCAGCCAAGGTGATGGGAATTGGCTAGATAAAAATTTCTAAAGAGAGGAAAATTTTTCTTTCCAGTCGTACTCAGGACAAAAGAAAGTGGAAGTCCATAGGACAAAGTAGAGCGACTTGTACTGCTTTGTTGGCAAGGCAGCAGCCACAGGTGCTTATTTTGATAAGAATGTATGTTGCCGCCTAGGTTACACCCAGTCACGTCATGCACAGTCACACAGCTGATGGGGTGCTCATTCCTTCCAAGGAATTCCATCTGGAGGTAAGCAGGTAAGTGATGCTGTGCTATCTACACACCATAAAAATAGTACCATGCTCCTAAAAGTGTGTCATGTTTTCCTGTCAAGTCATTCAGGCTACCTCCATGATTATGCCATTTCTTTTGGGTTCACATCTGCCAGCAGGTGCTAGTCACTGCACCCATCACCATTCACCAAGCAATTCTTTTTGGCTATGGTCACTACAGAAATTATTGCAGCCTACGTATTTACGCAAAGTTACAGTCCTTGAAATGTGTCTCAATAGGTTGCGTCTGGGGAACCTCCAGTGAACTGGACCTCTCCAAACACTACCAAGAACAAACATCTCTGCCTCCACACATACCTGGGATGAAGAGATAATGACTTTTGTTGTTCCATTGCTTCCTTCAGCTCTTAGACCAAGAAGTACCGTGAACAGCTCAAAAGGACTGAGCATAATTTTCCTGATGAACCTCCTGGCTTAAG